TGACACAGTGGTGGCAGCGATGGGCTCAGGCATAGTAACGATTATGAGATTGGTGCAGGACTGGGCACCGTTTCGTTCTGTTGTGCATAGGGTCACTATTAGTCAGTAGTGACTGAATGCCACCTAACAACAACAACACAACACCTCTACCAGAAAAAGACCAATAACCCAATTAAAAAATGGGCACAGGACATGAACAGACACTTCTCCAAAGAAGACACACAGGAAGCCAACAAACATATGAAGAAATGCTCATGATCATTCATTAGAGAGAAGCAAATCAAAACAACAATGAGATATCATCTCACAGCACATTAACAGTGAAATTTAAAAAAAGAAAATGAAACAAGAAATGCTGGTGAAGGTGTGGAGAGACTGGGACCATCCTACATTACTTGGGGACTGTAAAATGGTTCAACCACTCTGGATCATGGTATGGTGATTCAACAGAAAATTGGTAATAAAAATACCTACAATCCAGCAATCCCTCTACTTGGTATATATCCACAAAAAATATGAGACTAGGATACAAGTAGATATGTGCACACCTATGTCCATTGCAGAATTATTCATAATAGCAAAAAAGATGGAGACAAAGTACCCAACAATAGCAGAATGGATAAGCAAATATTGGTAGAGACATACAATGGAATACTATCCAATGTTGAAGAATAACAATGAATCTGTGAAACACTTCATAACTTGGATGAACCTGGAAGACATTATGTTAAGTGAAACTATTAAATCACCAAAGGGCAAATATTGTATGAGATCATTATTTTAAAATCTTAAGGCTTCTGGACTAAAACAAGCATTCTTTGGTGGTCAGTAGGGGTAGGAAGGAAGGGAGAGTAATTAACAGACTAGAGGGCAGACACACATTATTAGCTTGGGTGATGGGGAGGGCAAAATACAAGAAGGTGACGGCAATATAAAAGAAGAGGGAGGGTGGTAGAAGAATAGTGAAGATATCTAAAGGGGACAGGTGCAAATAATGATAATACACAACCCTCGAATAACAGTGTTCTGGGCATAAATACATGGATTGAGACATAGGCTGAATGGTCTAAAGGAAGAAGAATGAGACATATATATTTTTATATCCCACAAATATATAAAACTTTGAAAGAGAAAAACAAAACATTCTTTGATGGGTGCCAGGGATGGTAGGGAAGGGAGAGTAGTTCACTGGTTATAGGATGTTGTTTTTGTCGTTAGGTGCCATCGAGTCAGTACCGACCCAAAGCGACCTTATGCACAGCAGAATGAAATACTGCCCAATTGTGGGCCAACCTCACTACAGTTGCCATGCTTGATGTTAACTTGGGTGATGGGGAAGGCAACATACAAGAAAGGGAAAGGCAATACACAAGAAGAGGGAGGGTGGCCGAAGTCTGATGAAGACAGATGAAAACACAGTGGGGTATGCAAGGGCTAAAGGGGACAGTGATAAACAGTAATATATACACACGGTTGCAACAACAATACTAGATAACATGGACAGAGGCACATTCTGAATCATTTTGGGAAGAAGACTAGAATGTATGTATATTTATATATGTGTGTATGCGTATATATGTACATAGACATGTATATGCATGTATACACTTATATGTCTGTGAAAGAGGAAGCTGGTACATGTGCAAGTACTACTGTGAATGTGGTGGTGCCTACAGTGGGCAAAATGATGAAAACTAGATTATTATCAAAAATCTTAAGGCAATGAGTAGCTGAGCCTGAGGGCTAAGGACCATACTCTTAGGGGGACACCACTGTCAACTGGCACAACATACTACACAAAGAAAATGTTCCACGGACTACTTTGGTGAGTAGCGTCTGAGATACTAAAAGTGCATAAGCAGTCATCTGAAGAGCAGCTATTGGTCTCTCCATGTGCGGAGGAAAGAAGAGAGATGAGAATTGAAGAGGCTTGAAACAACTGATCCAATGGACTAATGGAACATGTGACCATCAGTCTCCATGGCCCTGAGGCCAGAAGAACTAAGATGGCACCCGGCTACTACTATCAACTGCTCTGAAAGGGATCACATTAGAAGGTCCTAGATAGAGTTGTGTAGAGCTCTGTAGCGTAGTGGTTACGAACTGGGCTGCGAACCTCAAGGTCAGCAGTTCAAAACTACCAGCCGCTCTGCGGGCGAAAGATGAGGCTTTCTGCTCCTGTAAAGATTAACAGCCTTGGAAACCCTATGCAGGGTCGCTATGAGTCGGAACCGACTCCACGGCACACAACAACAACAACAACAGAATGTGGAGAACAAAACTCAACATTATTTTAAAAAGGAAAAAAAAAAACACCAAAGACCAGGCTTACTGGTCAGAAAGAGACTGGAGGAGCCTGAGGCTATGGCCCTTGACCACCCTTTAGGTCTAAAAAGGAAACACTGTCTTTCAGCCAAGTAGTAGATAGGTGTAGAGAGGGAACAACAGCACTACTGAGGTATGCGTACCATGAATGATGGAACGGTCAATCATTCAAAATCAAAGGGGCACCATGTACCTAAGGACAATGGTGAGAAGGGATGGGAAGGTGGGTGGAAGGGAAATAGGAACCACAGGGAGGAAAACGGGATAACTGTTGTTCCATGGAGGAGGGGTCTGCAATCATTGAGCTGAAACAAAGTATGATTTGTTAAATGTGAAGCTGATGATCTTGTCTATAAACCTTCATTAAATTCACAAAAACGTTAAAAAAAATAAAAATAATAAAAGAAATAAGTAAATCCAAAAAAGAAAATACTAAATATTAGAATGGAAACTAATGAAGTGCAAACAGAAAAACAATAGAAAAAAAAAAAAATCAGTAAAACCATAGTGTGTTCTCTGAAAATATTAGCAAAAATTAAGCAACCTTTAGCCAATAACTAAGACAAAAAGAGGGAAGACCCAAATTGCTAAAAATTAGGAAAGAAAATGGGCTTTACAAAAATAAAAAACATTGTTAAGAAATAGTAGGGACAATTGTAAGCTTACAAATTTTATCACCTAAATAAAGGGGTGAAATTCTTTGAAAGATCAAACTACTGAAACTGACTCAAGAAAACACAGATCATCTGAATAGACCTATTATCAAATCAAGAAATGGACTTACAAATCAGAAAACTTATCATACGGCACTTAACACCAACAACTTCAATCCCATAACTGTGACTATAGGTCTGAGTTCTGAGCCCACCAAAATGAATTATTGAATGCAGCTGAGGAGAAGGCTGTGGGAGCTATGGCGAGTAACATCTCGGTTAATGTGCCAGACTGCAAAGCCGTTTGAACTACAAGGTCAGTAGTAGTTCAAGCTCACCAGCTACTCCTCAGAAACCCTGTACAGGGTCGCTATGGGTGGGAACCAACTCGAAGGCACTTAACAACAACATATAAACTATTAAGCAGGGAAAAATAATTAATTTAGCAAAGGTGTAAAGCAGATCTACGTAAGCCAATCTCAACCTTCTTAAAGGACTAAGACTACTTAGTAACAATGAGGGACCTTATTCTATTTGTTGATGATGGTGTGCTATTGAATCAATTCCAATTTGGGGCAACCCTGTATAGGGTTTCTGAGAGTGGCTGGTTGGTTTGAACTGCCCTTAGTAGTCTGGTGTTTGTCCTATAGCATTTAGTACACCATTGTGCCAAAAGAATGAATGAATGAAAATTAATCAACCTAAGCATTCAACACTGTGGAAGTGGTAAAATAAATTAATATAGCATTAAGAGAAAAAAAAAAACACTTGTCCCAAAGAAAAGCCCAGATGGCTTTACTAGTGAAGTTTACCCAATGTACAAGAGCAAGAACTAGCACTAGTCTTTCAAAAACACTTCCAAAAATAGAAGAGAACATTTAACAACTCATTTTATAAGGCCAGTATTTTCCTGGCACCAAACCAGACAAAGACATTACCAGAAACTGATATTCCTTATGAATATAGATGCAAAAATTCTCAATAAAACATATAAAAAGTGAGATGTATCACAGGATGTTAAGTCTGTTCAACATACAAAAATGAATCAACACAATGTAACATATTAATGGAATAAAGGGCAAAGAACACACAATTGCCTCACTGATGTTGCTGTTGTTGTTAAGTGCTGCTGAGTAGGTTCTGACTCACAGTGACCCCTTTATAGGATTCCCAAGGAGTGGCTGCTGAGCTTGAACCACAGACCTTAAGGATCAAACCGACCTCGCAGCCTAGCGCATTAACCAGAGCGCCACACCAATATTGAACAAATCCAACAATTTTCATAATAAAAAGCCTCAACTAACTAGAAAACTTCTCAACCTAACAATGGGAACTTACCAGAAACTGAGAGTTAACATCATACTTAATGGTGACAAAGTTTTCCTCCACCCCAAATACAAAAAAAGGTAGAGATTTCAGCTCTTGCCACTTCTAATCAATACTGTACTGGAGATTCAAGTTAGAACAATTAACAACAACAACAAAAAGGCAGGGGGCACCTAGGTGGAATGGAAGCAGCAGCATTATCTCTATTAACAGTGATACAGTATTATTTATAGAGAATCCACACCAAAAAAGTGATGAACAGTAATAAAGCAACGTTGCTGGACACAAAATCAATACACAAAATTCAGCTGTGCTTCTATATATAGCAATAAACAATTCAAAATGAAATTAAGAAAATAACTCCATTTACAATCACATCAAGTAGTAAAATACTAAGGAATAAATTACGCACTACCTACATAACACTGCAAATATTGTAGCGCTTATTTACAAAAGTGGATATTCATCATTACTGCTCAACTGTCAATCTCCAGGATTTGCTTTAATTTGAAATTTGAATCACCTGGATTAGGACTAGACTAGAAGCCGATTTAGAAGGTAATCCTATAATCTGCTGAATAAATGAAGCAATGTGCTTATTTCCTATTAGCAACAGGATTTCTTCCCCCAAGAAGTTATTATGTCTTTTGGGCATTAAGTACATGTCTACACATAGATGTTTCAAAATGCATTTACCTTCACAGTCAAATCCTCATTACCTAGTGTGACGTGAACCTGGATAGGGGGGTAAACTCCTTTGTCAGCATGGTGCTCCATGGTTGCTCTCATTGCATTCTGAAAGACATCAGGGTTACATCAAAAACAGAACTTCAAGGAAAAAGAATTAAGAGATAAAACTCACTTTATTTTCATAAGTCAATACACACTATTTGAATTTTTAAAAATTTTTAATGCTTTGGAAATATGCCACTCCCCCCAGCCAATCACAAATTTGGTTAATCATGTTTAGGACTACCTTTTGAAAAAAATAAATGAGTCAATTTTTTTTTTTAAGTATTTGGAAGATATTTTGATTTAGAGCCTAACTAATTTATGAATATTTTAAAAAACCAGACTTCTAAATACCTTTAACTGGTGGCTGTGTGCCATGGAGTCAGTGCCGACTCATAGCGATGTTGTATAGGGTTTCCGAGACTGTAAATCTTTAAGGAAGTAGAAAGCCTCATCTTTCTCCCATGGAACCACTGGTAATTTCGAACTGCTGACCTTATGGTTAGCAGTCCCACTCATAACCACTATGCTACCAGAGCTCCATTAAATACCTTTAACTAGTTTATATAAAGTAGAAAATTCTGTCCAAAGCATTTTACAATTTTAGTATATAAAGGGCAAACCGTGGTTTACTTTTCAAAAGTTTCTTTTCTCTTTTTAAGAACTAATTTGTCATAAATTCTTTAAGAAAAATGGTTTTCATTAGATATACTAACAGCCTTCATGTAGCAACTAATCATATTACCACTAGTTTGAAACAAAGACTATTTTGTAAAGCACTTCTGATCAATTTCTAAAGCATACACAGTTGTTGTTGTTGTTGTTAGTTCTGACTCAGAGCAACCCTGTATAGGGTTTGCAAGGTGGGGCTGGTGGGTTTGAACTGCTGACTTAGCAGTTAACAGTCCAGTGTTTACCCTATAGCATCACACCAGGAGTCAAAGGGTACAGGGTATACAATGTTATTTATCATAGGCACTAAATAATAACAATGTGAAATGTAGCATTGGAATATAAATTAATAAAGTGAGATACAACTGAAAAAAGCAAGCTGGGACTGAATTTGGAAACAAGGTTGTGATCGCTGAGGAAGAGAATTCATCATCTCTCCCGAACGTAGTTTAAGACTAGGTTCTAGAAGGAAGTCATTATTATTGACATTATGTAAAATATGCTATATAATGAAGTAACACTTTTTAAAGCATCATGAGGCACAAAATGTTTTATATGACTGAAATGTCACGGAATAGACAGTTTTATTCTTTGAAGTGCCAAGCACTATTTATTTAACCCCTTTGATAAGGCGGGGAAGTGGTAATTAAGGAATGTATTAGATACACTCTTGCTTTTCTAAAACAAAAATGCATTTTTGAGCACTTGCTTAACAAATGGGATCATCTGTGTGCTGTTCTAAGATATTCAGACCATTTTTTGGTTTTAGTTTGTTTTTCTTTTTTATTATTGGACAGAGAGCTGCCTCTTCTCTCTTCTCATTGGATAAAGAAACAGTTACTAGAGAGAGATCCCAGAAGTTTTATCTAGGTCACAGTTCTCTTTAACAAGTAATGGGACTCTGGGTCTTTAAAAGTAGAAAGCTCAGAATCATTCTTCTAAATGTTTTGTTTTATAAATCTATAACTTAATTGAACACCTACAACAGGTTGTCATAGATTGTTGTGTACATAATTCCCAAACTGCCTAACAATCTTGGGTGGTATTAACCTTGTTATACTGTAGAAGAAACAGGCTCAGAGAGGCTGAATGACTTACCCAAGGTCACACAGCTAGTAAGTGACAGCTCTGGGCTTTGAACTCATGCATTTCTGACTTCATAGCTTGAGTTTACCAGTACAAGAATCTAACCCTCAAGGCTGACAAAAGGCTGACCTCCAGCAATGTAACATGATACTGCATATGAAATAATCATCTTAATGAAACCCAGGCAAGAGAACCCAGTGGAGTATTTAACTCTTAATACACATTCCTAATCTCAGGAAAGGACTGGTAAAGGTTATGTAATTACAAACCTTGAAAAGCTCAAACACCATGTGATAGAGGTGGGATGGTACATAAACCACTTGTATTGGTTGTCCTGGTGATTTTGCTACAGAGCAGAGGAGAAAAAAATGAAAGAAAGAGATGTGCTTAAAGCATTTTTAAAGAATAAACTGCGTAGCGATGAAAAGGAAACATTTACTATGGAAGACTGCCACACCACTTGCTCTTCACTGTGTTAGTGTTGGTGCCCACAGTCACACAGATTTACAGCTGGCAGTGACAACATGAATACTGTCGTCATTTCTTGCATATCCTGGGAAACAATCCATCCAACCCAGTTCTCCCATTTTCTACTACGGTGACTCTTTTTGCAAGGACACACTCAAACTTAAGACTTTTACTTTCTGAAGAGAAATGCTAAAGAAAATCTCCAAATTCCATAGGTCAATTCATAGTCCATTTCACATGTTGTTGTTAGGTGGATCAAGTCCATTTCAGCTTACAGAGTAGAACTGCCTCACAGGGAGATCATCGAGTTTAAGCAGGTTTGAACCACCAACTTTCTGGCTAAATGCCAAGCACATACCCGAAGCCCCATCAGAGCTCCCAGTTCACATAAATATATTTTCAAAGAGAACATTTTCTAAATGCTTCACCCAGTCACCCAGGCAGAACTCGATTTTATTTCAGGCATTTCAATGGATGCAAATCTGAATTTTAAAATTTTAGCTGGTATCAATTTATCAATCAAGGGATATAGATTCTACATTCAAACATGTAATGGGAACCAAGTGGATGGGGATGGATCGTATAGAAAACAGAACCTTTAGTAGAGCAAAGGAACTAATATTCACCATGCCTTAGTATACTGTTCTATACTAATTCAACCAATAAACCTGACTCTTTCTCCCCTGCATCATCTGCCCCTCAGGAACATGGACCTGCCACCTGTAAACCCCACAGCCGCTCAGGCTCCCAAACTATCACCTGTGCACTATGATTCTTATTTACTGAATGGCCCCCTTAGGACTAAGAGATAATATGGGGTTTAAAAAATAAAATAAAAATCAAGCACTTCTAATTTCAAATAGATAACACTCTAAGACCCAGAAAAAGGTCCACCCATTGCCAAAGTTGATTCTGACTCACAGTGACCCTAGAGGACAGAACAGAACTGGCCCATAGGATTTCCAAGAAGCAGCCTGCTTATATCTTTCTCCCATGGAGCACCTTGGTGGACTTTAACAGTTGACCTTTCAGTTAGTAACCAAGCATGTAGCCACCAGGACTCCTTAAAAAACGGCTTAGTAAAAGCTTATTTAATTTTATTCCTCCCACCACCTTCTTAACAGGAAATGATTTTTTTCCTCTACCAAATGGCACTACTTCTAGAAAAAAAAGTGGGTAACTCATTAATCTCTCCCAAGACATCTAAGATTTCAAGGCACCAACCAGTCAGGGTAAAAAGAAAACCATCTATGAGAAACAGATGCTCTTAAACAAGGGAGCATCTTTCATTCCACTTTTACACCCCATTTTGTTTTAACTTCCTCAACAGTAAAAATGTATTTATTACTCAGCAAGTAGAAATCTTAAATAGTAAACCTTACATTAAAGAAATGATACAAAAGCCAAATGAAAATTTCTTGGCATCATGTTTTTCTAAGACTAACCCGAAGATAAAAAAATAAACACAGAATCAGAATTAAAAACTAAAAAGAGATAAAATAGACAGAAAAGCACTAAAAAAATTTTCAGGGAAAAAAACCAAAACTAACTAAATCAAGTACCTGAGGTGTTTTTGTTTTTGCTTTGTGTGATTACACTCCTTCAACCTCATATCCAATAAAGAAGTTGATGAAAAGTTCTTTTCTATTAAAACAAATGTAACTTCTTTTTACCATTCCTCACAGTTAACTACCACACTAGTCATTAAGAAAACGATGACATCAGGCTTACCATTTAGTTCTTCAAGTTTCAGTTCAGGAGAGCTAATGTAATATAAATCACATAGATGCCTAGCATTTTCATAGCCATCTAGAGTGAATCAAAACACACAAACATCAAAAAAAGTTAGAGGCACTCAGAGGACAACAACAGTGATAAGTGAGATTTCAAACTCTATAGAAGAAAATATATTTTAATAATCTTGGTATATGGGAGAGCATGACAAAGCCTAATAGCTCTACAGGAAGAATGGCAGATATGATTACCGAAAATATTTTACTTAAGCCTTTGTATAGAAAATGATCCTATACACAAAGTAAAAGGAAAAATAGTAAGCTGAATAAAATCTAATATGCAAAAAAACAACAAACCTAACAGGCACACTAGAAAAGGTCTGCTATGAAATAGGTACTGCACGTGGAATCCAGTATGGTGCTATGGGAGAATGTGCTGGACTACGAGGTCAGTTTGAGTCACAAGGTAGACAGTTCAAATCCACCAGCCACTCCTCGGCAACCCTATACAGGGTCACTATGAGTCGGAATTGACTTGACAGCACTTAACAACAACCACCATCAGAAACAGGCAAAAGCTATGATGAGAAATTCATGGAAGGAAAATAATGGCCAATAAACATAGAAAAAGCTGTTCAAATCCATTCAACACAAAGGAGTGAAAATCAAAACAATGAGATGAGATACTAACTTTTTCTCTATCAGAATGGCAAAATGTGAGTGAATGAAATTTTTCAGAGTTGGCGAGGGTTTAGGAGATAGATGCTTTCCTTCATTGTTACTCTTGGGGGACTACTGACATTTCAAATGCATTCCAAACATTAACTTTCTAGAAATCTAGCCTTCCAAAATATTATCAAAAGTCAGCATATAATATTTAAGAATACTCATTGCAGTTTTGTTACTAATAGAAACATATTAAGCAACCAAGACTGCAGGGAGGACAGATTAATACATTATGAAAAGCCATTCAAAAACTTAGGATAACTCTATGTGTACTACTGTGGTAAAATGTGTAGAAAATATACATAGAGGGTCCCACAAATTAAAAACAAACAGTGAAAGACCAAGAATTGTGTACATCCTTGTGTGTAATGCGTCAGACTGCAAAGTCGTTTGAACTGCAAGGTCAGTGGTTCAAGCTCACTAGCTGCTCCTTGGAAACCCTTTACAGGGTCACTATGGGTTGAAATTGACTCGACAGCACTTCACAACAACAACAACATATGTGCATATGTGTTATCACTGCAAAAACGTATGGAAGAAAGTAAACAAAACTGTTAGGAATTATAGTTGTTGTTAAGAATCATCGAGTCGGTTCTGACTTATAATGACCCTGTATTAAGGTTTCTCCAAGGAGCAGCTGGTGAGTTTGAACCGCCAACCTTGGTGTTAACAGTCCAGTACTTATCCTATAGTGCCATACCAGGACTCCTAGGGATTATTATGGTCTTATTATAGGGAATTACAAAGGAAATTTACACTGTTTGAAACAAAATCAAATCTCTTCTACAGTATCACTTTACTTTGCCTAACAAAGGATAGTAATTAGAACACACTTTCACTTGTATACAATGTACAGATAGGCTATACAGTTGTTTTTAAATAATTCACATATTTGCTCTTAATATTTTATCTCATCATATAAATAGTTGTTTTAATAGCAAGAAATAACCATTTTGATTTTTGCATCCTTTTTGAAAAGGGAAACCTGTTTACCTTTAATGACTTCAACTACGTTACAGTTTGGATTTATGCTTCCAATGTGTTTCCGATGAGAGAGGCTTCCTTTGCCTTTACCACCAAACAATAAAGCTGTCAAAAACAAAAAACAAAAAGCAATTGGTTGACTAATACCGTTTTCCAGATTTGACTATTATTTTGTTAAATGATGCCAAATAGTTGAATGAGAATTTTCCTTATGTGTACACACATAATTTTACATTCAATTAAAACACATTTGTATAGTCATTTTCCTTTCTTAACATGCAAAAAAAAAAAAAAAAAAAATCCAAAGTGAACGTTCTCCATGAAACAGTTTTAAAAATAAAATTTAAATGTACCAACATATGTTATTTAGATTTTTCTCTTAACTTGCAGACACTTACAGTGTTGATTGAGTAACATTCTAATAGAAATGCGACTCATGTAGAAACGGTCCAAGAAGTACTGAACATTCTGGCTGGTGACAGGATCCACCCCAAAGCTCTCCTTATATTCAACCACACCCTGGGCCATGGTGGGGATGACATCATTGTGTCGGTTCCTGATCCGTATCACAGTATCTGTAAAGCTAAACAAATCCGTCTGTAAAAAACGGCCAAATATCTTAACAAGTAAATACTGAAAAATAAGTTCCACTAGACAAACAAATCCCTAGTTTGTCAAAGGAGCATAAGTTCATGTTTTCCTATGCTTATTGAAGCTTATATCAGGTCATAGAATATATGGAATCAATGAAGGTATAAGAGCCCTCCTCCGACACCAAAAATTTGATACTTAACTTCTTTCTTGGTACTTATAAAAAAAACAAGGCTGCCACAAAATACAATCCTAAAAATGTTAAGGAATTTCTTAACCAAATTGACTCTGGTCATCTCAGCAGTCGCGATGAGAGAAGATGGAGTGCTTGCCTCTACAGAACACATGCTCTGTAAGGAATAAAGACGATGAGCAAAGAGCAAATGAAGACTGTCTGGCTATGGAACTGTTCCCTAGGGTCCTAGGGTGTAAAGACAGAAAGAAACACAAAAAAGGAGAATTCTAATTTCATTCATCGATGGTTTACAAAACGGCAAAAGAAACATAGACAGCTGTGTTGAGACCACACCTTTCAAATCCTCCAGCCTTCCCATTTCTGTCATTTTAAAGACGTTATAGGAGAAGGACCAGCACTGCACTGCTAACCACGAGGTCACTGGTTCAAACCCTGTTCGTTGGAAACCATTACAGGGTCACTACGAGACAGAAACAACTCTGTGGCACATAACAACAACCCAGCCTGATTAATATGGAGGTCTAAATAAAAGAGTGAAGCCCTTTTCATTATGAAGTAAGAGACAATCTTTAAACGTACCCATCAGAATTACATTTCCATTCAAAGTCATCATCATGAGTACTATTAACTTATTCAAGGATACTTCCTCTGCTCAAAACACTTTCTAAATCCCTCGTTTGTAATTAGCTTCAAACCCAAATGATTTAAACAAACTACACACAGCAAAACCCTTCAAAGATAAACAACTCACTTTTTGTTGTTGTTGTTAAGTGCCCTCATGTGAGTGCCAACTCCTAAAGACCCTATATAGGGTTTCTAAAGGAGCAGACCTCAATGGCTGGCAGTCCTGTGCTGATCCTACAGTGCCACACCAGCACTTCCATCATTCCTAGGCATCACTTTTTATTTAATTCTTTTAAAATGAAAGGCACAAACAGTATTATTTTGCTTGATCACCCACCATGTTTTCCAGATTTAGCTCTGAGTGACTAACCTGTTTTTTGCATAGCTGGAAAAAAAAAAAAAAAATCAATGCAGCAAACATCCCTCACATAGCCCTCTATCAGCTGAGTCCAATTAATGGTTGTAATTGTAATGGCCACACAGAACTGACACCACGCTCACAGTTATGTGGCTTATTAGGGCAGTTAACAGGTTACAAAGCAGGTCAGAAATATTCAGGATACAGTTTTCAGTCAGGACAGCCTCTTCTCAACATGCCCACGCAGGCAGGCCTCTCTTTCTCTGGCTCTTGACCTCTCAGCCACGCAGCCCCATCACCTCTGCCCTGCTCAGGCAAAAAGCTGTTTTATGGCTGTGGACAGACATCCAAAGGGCACTCCACTCCGCTATAAGTCTCAGCCTGAAGGCGCTCAGCACCTAGTTCCCCAATTAAGGGTCTGCAGGCATCCCAATCCACAGATGAGACTCTTGCCCAAAGTCCCTCAACTTTACTTGCTCTGTCTCGTGCTCTGGCTCTTGGTTCTGCTGCTATGGCGCCTCTGCCACTCCTCAGGTGTCACAGTTTTCTATCTCTGGTTCAAGGAGGATCAATGAAAAGGATCTTGATGTCCAAAGGAAAGATTCCTGGCTATTCTTCTCTGATGCATGGAATCCCCTCCTGCTTCTGAAATGGCTCATTTTATACCCACGTTAGAGTGCCACGTACTTATAATCACAATTAGCCCTATTAACAATCACAACTGAATCATGTCTTCTTATCAGCATCTTCTCCCACCTTCTCTGACCCAGACCCATCAGGAAAAAAAGTTTGGGGAAAGCTACAAAGACTGGGCAGAAGAGCCAAATGAAGAATCCACTGCACTGCAATAGCATATCCTTATAAGAAAGATCGCTTGGGTCCAAACTCTGATTCTACCATTTGCTAGTTACGTGACATCTCTTAAGCTACTTATCCACTGTGCACAAATGGATTATCTCAGGAGAGTTGTTTTGAAGACTAAATGACATGCCACATAAAAAAATCTGCTCAATACCTGGGCACAGAATAAACTCTTGATGAATATTATTATTTCTAGATCAAAATATTTTAATTAATACTTTTTCTAAAATCATGTTTTAAAATATGAGGGTAAGACAAAAAGTATTGCTACTGGGGTTCTGGTTATACATGCATGAGTTTAAATAAGTCTGCAACCAGAGGATGGCTGTAAAAAGTTTAGTCTCAGTAAAAAACTTTAGTCTCACGAGGGTGACTTCATTAAAAAAAAAAAGTCCCATCAATACTGTGGTTCCTGGATGACGCACGACCCGGAAAGCGGAGACGTTGGCAGCAGCTGCGGGTGAGGACAGCTGGAAATGGAGGTTTGGCCATGAACTTATCCGGAATGACAACGGCGTTGGGATTGGCAGCGGTCTCCTAGCTGTGCGCACCCTGCAACTGGAGGTGGAGGGCGTGTGGCTCTGGACAGCAGAGCAGGCGCGGAGCCCTGGGCCATAGATTTTTACATTATGGCAGGAAGGCATCAGAATCGGGGTTTTCCTCTTCCAGGGGTTCAGTCAAGTGCTCACAAGTAAATGCATATGGAAATTGTACAGCTAGCGATACGTTAGATAGAGGAGGCTGCTGAAGTGTATGAACTTCCATCCAGAGGAATAGAAAAATTCCGAAGAAGTATATCAAGAGATAGACTTGACGATATTAAAGTATTAACAAAAGATACAGAAGAAGGAGATACTTTAAATGCAGTAGCCCTTCAATATTGTTGTACATTTCCCTTCTCTTGGTGAATGGAATCATCATCCCTAGAGTTAACCAAACCAGAAGACTTAGTTTCATCCTACATTCACTTCACCTCTCTGATATTCAGGAGACTTAAAGCATTGATGGAAATGATGAATGTGATCATTTAAAGGTGGTAGCAGATAGCAAGAGTTAATAATCTCATTAGCGATCAAGACTTTTTTGCCCTTCGGTCTATCAAAATTCCAGTAAAAAAAAATGTAGTTCATTGACTGAAACACTTTCTCCTCCAAAAGGAAGACAACCATCGCCTGTGCAGTATGCTTCAGAACAACAGGCCATTCTACCAGCAAATGATTCTGTTTTTTCCAGTGAGCCAGCGGTAGCTTTTTAAAAGAAGTGGACCGAGACATAGAACAAGTAGTAAAATGCACCAAAACCTTAATGAGGTGGTATCTGCCTTAACAGCACAGCAAATACATTTTGAAACTGATAACAAAACCAGTCAACGGAAGGATCCCTATATAGGGTAGACTAGGTTATAGGATGGTGGACCGCAGTAGTGATAATGTTGACAGTAGGTATAATAACGCCAGTGTTTTATTTGCTGTATTACGAAATTTTAGCTAAAGTGGATGTTAGTCACCATTCAACAGTGGATTCTTCACATTTGCATTCAGCTGTCACGCCTCCATCACAGCAGAGAGAAATGGAAAATGGAATCGTCCCAACGAAAGGAATATACTTTGGTCAGGTCAACAAGATGATCATAAACTATACAGTCAAAATTCTCAGTCACCTGCTGCTCAACACAAAACATAGCAGTTAGTTCATTAGCACCACTTAGTGATCACCTGTGTGTCTGGACTGTTGCAAATTGAGCATATTCACTAACCACTTAAAAAGCAGTATTTAGGGAGACTGAAGAGGATTTATTTTTGTTTTTCACTTGAGCCATTTACAAGTGAATTGTGTAAGAAATCCTAAACTTACTAGTAGTTCAGATTGAAAACAAGCAGCCTGTGCTTCTGGTATGTCACTGTTTAAAGTGGAACTGAATTTAAATAGGTGTTTAGGAAGTTCTAAGCTTGGCAAATGTATCAGTTTTCTTATTCAAGACTAGTTAGGCTTAAATTTTAAGTAATTATTTTTAGAGTTAAAGTTATTGTTAAATTGATTAAGTAATGTAAATACAGCACCAGAAGTGTGCAACTGAAGAAATTTTACTACGGTGAGCCATCAAAAACTATTTAGCTGCAACAAAGGTTGATTGATTCTAAAATTACTCAGTACTCCATTTTCAAATTTTAAAAAAACATTTACAACATACATGAAAACAAATGTAGGATCAAATGGGAAAGTCATGTGCAATTTCTGTAATAGATGGGAAGATATAAATCGAATATTTTTGAGGCTCCAAAATAATGTATTATGGTTGGGAAGCTGTCATTTGGTCACTAGAACACTGGAATAGGTTAAGAGCTAATAATTTTCTTTGTCTCCTAAAGAACACTTGGATTCCCAAAGCAGATCCTTTCAACCATGCTTCTGCCTCAGTTTTTAAAATGATTATATATGACTCCAATGTTTGAAAGCACTTCTTCAGTTCTTTAATAAAAAATGTTATACATGAACAAATTAGTATATGTATGAAATAATTCCTGTGACAAATCACTCCTGCTACATGTAGTAACTTGTCTTAATTATATTTAATATCTTAAATTTTCATTTTATGTAAACCAATAATATAATTTCTTAATTAAAAGTAAGCATTACTTCAGGTTCACTCAGACTCATTACATGGTGGTGAGGGTGGTTATGTGCCGTAGAATTGGTTTCCGACTCATAGCGACCCTGTACAGGGTTTCCGAGGCTGTAAATCTTTACTGGAGTAGAAAGCTTCATCCTTCTCCTGCGGAACAGCTGGTAGTTTTGAACTGCTAACCTTAAGGTTCACAGCCCGATTCGTACCCACTACGCTAACCAGAGCTCCTTCGACTCATTACATAAGCTGTATACATTTAATTCTCCCTTTGCTATCAACTACAAGTTAATGAGGTCAAAACAGATCTCTATTGGCTGCCTCTGATCTACTGAAGAAAATGGCTCACTAAACAAAAACAAAGCCTTTTGCTTTAGCAATAACAGACAAAGTACTTATTGATTCCTTTAACTCTGTGATTTTCAAAGAGAAAGCACATGGATTATATCATCAAATTGGGGAACGGAGACTAACAGTGTATGGATTAGCAGAAAGGGCCTGATAGTTCTGTTGCTGTACCATCTGCTATGGATCAGCCAGTCTCACTGAGTAAGAAGCATTTGTATATTGGTGTCATTTATTTTTTTAAAGTATGTGTTTTTAAAATGTAAAAAAAGTGATGCAACAGAAGTGTGATGTGTCTTGGATTACCTGTTTTGTGTATAATAAAGTGTGTACTTTAAGACAAAAAACAAAACAGTGGCTCCTGAGGGATCAGTTAAATTCAAGACAGAGAGGTCAGACTTCAGAAGGTTACAGCGACTATTTCCTGGGATTCTAAAGCAGTGATCTTGATAGATTTTCTCAGGACACAGAATGACCACAGGGTATTACTGTTGTTGCTAATGTTATTGTTGTTGTCGAGTCGATTCCGACTCATAGCAACCCTGTATAGGGGTTCTGAGAACAGCCACCCTGAGGCTCACGTGGAGGACAGGCATTTGGAAGTTTTCAGAAAATTAAAAACTGCATTGGTGAGAAAATTGTCAGAAAAGGTGTGCAGAGGAATTTTTTTCCATCACAACAATGCACCTGTTCATTCTCCAATGGTAACAAGGGCTGTCTTATGAGAATCCCATTGTGAAATCTTACCCCAGCCACCCTACAGCCCTGATCTTGCTCCTTCAGATACGTTTTTGTTCCTCAAACTCAAAGAAAATTTGAAAGGACCATGATTTGAGTCCCTCAAGGATGCCAAAACTGTCATTCTGACATGTAAATCAAACAGTGCAGAGCTCTTTGAGGAAAAGTTATTGTCGTTAAGTGCCGTGGATTTGGTTCTGACCATAGAGACCGTGTAGGGTTTTCAAGGCATTTCTTTTTCTTTAATCTTCATGGGAGTAGCAAGCTTCATCTTCCTGCCACCAAGTAGCTGGTGGGCTCAAACCATAAATCTTGTGATTTGCAGTCCAATGCTTATCATATGGAGCCACCACATTCCCTTGGGGAAGGGTTAGAACGATGAAACTACCACCTTGGAAAGTGTATAGACCTAAACGGAGAATATGTAGAGAAACAATAGCTTCACATTTGATATTTTTGTTTAGTAAATGTTTGTCTGAATTTGTAACAATACTTTTTTACTTACCCTTGTATTGCTACCTGTCACCTTTATAGTCTTTAAAAATGTACAACAGTCTACCTAAAGAGCAACTCTCCAGATAAATAACCCCACTATTTCCCTAGTGGGAGCTCTGGTAGCGGAGTGGTTACGAATTGAGCTGCAAACCTCAAGGTCAGCAGTTCAAAATTACCAGCTGCTCCGCGGCAGAAAGATGAGGCGTTCTGCTCTCGTAAAGATTTACAGCCTCAGAAACCCTGTACAGGGTCACTATGAATCAGAACCGACTCCATGTCACATAACAACAACAACATTCCCCTATAATCCAAGTAGCATTGAGGTCACATCTCGATTTCCACTGATCGTCACACTTGGATTGTTTCGTTTTAACAGTAGAAGAGTAACATGAAGTGTTTCTTATGTCCAAGTCAATTTATTGATTCATGCTACTTGCCGTACTGGGTGTCTGTTAATAGACACACTACTACCAAATGTTCTACAGTAGCAGGAAACAAAAATGTAAGCCTTTTCCTTAAAGTGATCCAATAGTAGGCTTAAGCTTAATGCATTTTATATATATATATATATATATATTTTTTACAAGATGTTTAACAATTTAAGAGTGGTGTGGGACAGTGCCTGACTTCCTCTGACTTCACCAGGGGCAAAGGGAATCAAACACAGTATCAGCCCAAAGTCATTTCCTATGGGGTAGAGATCAGACATGTGTCCTTCCTCCCACATGTTTAACCAACCCTGACACCAACCATTCCTCCTCTCTACTTCTCTGCCCAGTTCAATCATTCATGGCAATTAACAATTCATGGCCACAGAGAACTCATAGACAATATCCACAATTATAGGATTTATTAAGGAAGTTGTTGTTAAGTGCTGTCAAGTTGGTTCCGACCCATAGCGACTGTGTATAGGGTTTCCTAGGAGCAGCTGGTGAGCTTGAACCGCCAACCTGGCAGTTCAAATGGCTTTGCAGTCTGGCGCATTAACCCACAGCGTCACATCAGGACTCCATTAGGGAAGTTAATAGGTTACAATTCAGGATCAGAAATGCTCAGGAAGCAGTTCTTCGGGTCAGAACACCTCATTCTATTCCTTGGCCTTTCAGCCGCAGGCCCCTAGGCCTCTGCCCTGCTTGTGACAAAGCTTATTTAGCACTGGTGTTAAATGCCCAAACGGCATTCTACTCTGCCATAAGCCTAAAGGGATACGAATACCTCCCCCAATAGAGCGGCTGGAGGCAAGCCACTCCACGAGGTAGCTTCCAGCCTGAAGGCACTCAGCTCTGCTCCCTGGGGCCTAGGAAGAAGCTGTGCTCCTTCTCATGCTCTGTTTCCCGGTTCTCCGGCTGCCTCCGCTTCTCCGGCTGCCTCCGCTTCTCCAGCACTCCTCTGCAGCTCTGTCTCCTGGATACTAAGTATACCTCAGGGTCCAAAAGGCGTGTGCTCCATTCATGACTCTTCTTTCTTGATGGTTGTGACATCACCAAGTTCCTACTTCTGAGATGGCTCATTTCATTCCAAGCAAGATGGCAAAACCAACCAATCCCCTCATTAGATTTCCATACACTTGATTTGCAAAGTCCTATGCAGTCATTTGGTGGGACAAAGACCAAGCAAGTAATTCAGTTTTACAAATGGTTATAAAAATTATTTTCAGAATAGGGTTAAAATAATATACTTACTCATAAATAGCTTTAGCATCTTCAGCACTTCTGTCCTTAAAATCAAGAAGCTCCTGAAGACTCTGGATATACCTAAAATTTAAATCAATAGGGTAAGTTTGTTCTTTTACATGCTAAGAGTTCTATAGTGGGGAAAATACTCAGAACTGATTTTTAAACATTACTTAGTTTTAAATGTAAAATACTGCTATAAATTATGGTTAATGCAGGATTTTTATACCCATTCACATTCCTGCAAAGTGCTGACACAGAATAGTAAAAGGCACATGTTTTCCTGTAAGTAAACATCAAATCTCATTTTAGGATTTTAAGATGTCCTACAGCATTTTCTGCAGGGAGTGGCTGGGGCAGAAGGAATTGTCCGAGTCTATACCCCTTTTCCAATGGCAGAGTTAGCTTTAATTCAATCTAGACTTGGGTTTTTTACCTCAAATTCTGCAATTTTATTAAGCAGTTTCAATTTCTAACACAGTTTTACCAACTAACTTATCATGATATTTTTGTTGTTTTAACTAACTCTTTAACCCCTGAGGTAAGGTAGGTGAGTGCTGTGCTGGAACAGGCCTGGGCTCATGCAGACCAGGAACACCTCACCAATAACAATCACCCAGCAGGAGAGGAAGCCTTCCCTGACAGGGACCCCAGGTGGAATTATAATACCCAGGCAGGTATTGTCAACCGAGATAGGTATATTAATTGTATACTTCATGGGCTGCACAAGGCAGTCATGAAGCAGTTAATTATGACAAACTTGGTGAAATTATCCAAGACAAGAATGAAAATCCTTCTGTGTTTCTCCAGAGGCTCACTGACAGCCTGTAGCAATATACTAATCTCGATCCGGACTCTGCCAATGGCCAAAGGTTATTTATGGTGCATTTTTTTCTATCAGAGCTACCCCGACATCAAAATAAAGCTTAAGAGGCTAGAAAGGAGTCCCCTAACTCCTCAAGCAGAGGCTCTCACTGTTGCATTTAAAGCCTACAATGGCCAAGATGACGCAGGGGCTGTAAAAAAGTACCAGTTAATAGCTCAGGCCATCAACCCCACCTTGCCACCACGAAGCCTCCGGGACCCTGCTTCTGGTGCAACCAGGGTGGACATTGGGCCAAAGAATGCCCAAATCCCAAACCTCCTACCGAGTCCTGCCCCAAATGCAAGCAGAAGGGGCATTGGGGTTTCGACTGCCCCTTGGAGTCTACCCGCCATCTGGTCG